ACAGCAATTTAGAGAGGATGGCAAGGGGAAGAGAAGCTTCTTTTCCACCCATCTCTATTTCACATATCTCTTTTAACCCATGTCCTCCATTTATGCAGAAAGCACACTTGCCATATTTGTTTATTTATTGTGAACACCCTCCACCATACCTGCTACATATGCGGAATCTGTGATACACGGTACCTCATCCATGCACTGCCTGAGAACTTCGGAAAGCTGCGATACGGTCTTTAGTGTGTTTCTTGGAAACCACAGACCACCTGCCTCACTAGGATGCTCCAGATTCATGGTTTCACTTACTTGTGCTTTGGAGCCGTGCTTCTCACACTAAATGAGCACAAACATTACTGGAGGGCTTGAAGAAGAACAGATTGCCAGCCCCACCCCCAGAGATTTTGATACAGTAGGTCTGAGATAGAACCCAAGAATTTTCATTCCTCACAAGCTCCCAGCATCTGCTGGTACTGCCTTCCTTGGTTCACACTTTGAGTAACACTGTTCTAGAAACTTTTGGCTTAATGAGAGATGTGGGGAGGGCTGTGCAGTAAATGGAAACCTGATTGTTCAACTGTATATTCTAAAACTAAAGAGCATTCAGATGAATAATTAAGGAATTTCATGAGCTGGTAATTTTAGTGTTTGTTTGTTTAGGGTTTTCTGCATGGTTGCTGTGTGACCAGGTCAAGTCATTATATTTTTCTATATCTCAACCATTATCCCAAAGGAGGCTAATTTTTAAAAGCCAAAAGCCTCCTTTTTGGTCTCCTTTGCTCAGCAATGGATAAAACTTTACAAATGCAGGAGAGCTTTCAACTGTACTATTCCACTAACCTAACCTTCCCTGGGCCTGGTGGGGACAGGTCAGCATAGAACCTCCATGCTCCATGCAAACAAGGAAACAAAGCCAAGGACCACATGGATGCCCAGGGTGCACTGCTCTGTCTTCTGGGTGTGGGGTCAGGCTAAAAGAAGTGAGGGCAAAAGGGAGGGACCCTGTCCACATCTTCACCTTAAAACAGGAATGAATCCAACTTTTACATCCAAAATAACAAAGAAAGGAAGGAGGGAGAGAGAGAAAAAGGGAGGAAGAATTGATCCAGAGTTAAGGACAGAATGTCCTACAAAACGCTGGACATATAACAGGCATATAACACCTGCACCTCATGAGGAATATAAAAGCAGAAGACACACAATTTTGTGCCTGCTCTCCAGCAACCTGTCAGACAAGACCTCCCACAAGTTAAGAGCCTCCACTCTCCCAGGTCTGAGCTGCAGAGGCAGAAAGGCTTCTGGGTGTCCACACTCACACACACACCCCCACACAACCCTTGGGGGCAGACTACATGCACAACTCATAGACGCCAAGTCTAATTGCCACTGAATGAATAGGAAAAAGATGCCAAATTAATGCACATTAGCAATCTCTCCCTAGCAAATAAAGCCATCAGCAATTTCAACTTCATTTTTCATTTGCTAGTTAAAAAAAGAGCACTTAGCAAGTGGGTATCTCCCAGCCCTCTGTGGGTGCTTCTTTAGCTTTGTACTACACTTGTCAGCAAGTGTGATGGGAAATCAAACTGCTCCAAATATTTGCCTTCCAAATTTTTCTTGTACTAAGGTTTAAAAAATAGCAAAGTTGCTTTCTTTTTTTCCTGAGATTTGAACCCGTGCGGTGCTCCCTGCACAGCAGGACCCTGCCAGGGAGAGCGGAAGGGTTCATAATGCAGGTGCCTTAGCCCCTCAGCTGGTGGCTGGAGCCATGTCAGCTTTGAAGCAGTTTTACATAACCCTGCAGGCGGCGCTGACTCAGACCACCTGCCGCAGGTGACGAGTTACTGCCGAGCCTCGGTGGTTGCTACAGACGGCATTCTAGAACAAGGGAGCAAAACTGGATCCAGCCTCTGACATATCCTACTCCAGATCCTTCATTGCAGAGATGAATAAATTTTCCAAGAGACTGAGGGATTCCATCAAGGCCACCTTGCTATGTAGTAGCAGAGCTGGGTCAAAATGGAGAGCACTGGACTGACCACCAGCCATTGTTCTTAACTTAATTGTGCAGAATTATGTTCCTTGATTAAATAGAAACAACGCCGTAAACCAAAAGCAGCCCTTCTGCTCCCGCATCAGTGAGGACTTCCAATATTGACGAGATGGAATTTAAGGGGGACACTGAATACCAGGATTCTATTTGGAATCTTCAGGCCCCTAGTCTGTAGTCAGCAGACTGTCTTATTTCTTGTGTTAGGTGTACGCTTGTTTGTTTTCTCAGAAGGGTGCATTCTCCACCAGGGAGGGACCATCCTACTCATCAGCCAACCAGCTGCTTAGTATAGATTTTGTATATAATGAACGCTCGATACACCTTTCTTTAAAATAAACGAGTGTCCAAAACACCCATGCAGAGCAGGGATGGCAAAGATGTTCTGTTGATTGAGAAAAGGCACAAAAATAATTATCTGAATTTTCTGAAATACAAAACTCCAGGAGGATAGCTGCCTAGGTGTAGAGAATTACCGGGGAGTAGACTCTAGACTAATGCACCTTTTTCTGGAGCCCAGTCATTCAGTGGTTCTCCTTTCTTTACTTTTTAGGACATTTTGTTGTCTTAATTGAAAGCCCCGAACACCTCTGATCAACTGCTGTGCCTCCTAAGGGACCAGCACACACGCAATCCCTTGGGAAAAGCTTAATCAGCCCTAATTGAGTTACAATACTAACCTAAACTAATTAGACTTTTAGAAAGTTGTCAACACCCTACAAAGTAACCTGGGCTCTGGCTCCTCCACAGCCTTCCTGGGGAGTAAGTGTTCAAGTTCTAAAACCTTGAAATTCTGCCAGTGACCCCTGAATAAAGACACCTTTCTTCTCGCAGACATTCACTCCATTGGCTTTTTACTTCTGTACTAAACAGTCGTAAAAATAGAACATCAGACTCCAAAAAGGATCACAGAACTTCAAAGTTCAAAAAGCCTATTTCTGTAGTGGTTTTACAAAGAAACCAATCTGGTGTCTCTTGTAACCCCTTAGTGGAAGCCCCATCTCAGAAAAGTGTCATTGCCTTCCTGGAAACCAAAAGCAACCGCGACAGAAGCAGAACCAAGTGCCTTCAGGTCTAAAAGTCATTGACTCAAGCAAATAAAATTAAACCTCTTAAACCTCCGGGTCTTGCCACTGCAGCAACCCAAATACACCCTAAGCTTCCATCCACTAATTTTACCACCATAAACTTTGTCTACAATGGCTTAATATTAATAATGGGCAGCAAAATTTGCAAGCTTATTCTCAAGACACATTTGTTTTACATTTGATAAGTAAAAGCATCATTTTAAAAAATACCATCATATTCTTACAAAACACCGTTGAGTAGAGAACCCAAAATCATGTAAAGGTGTCCTTTTATGAAGATTCTCATAGCCGGGTGACAGGTAGCACACAGGTATTTCTATCAGCATTTTAGAATGAGGAAACAGCCCCAGGGACTTGAACTAAGTGAGTCAGTCATGAGGCTGAAATAGAAACCAAACTTTAAGGTGACCTTGAATCGAATTCAGCCAGAAAAGAAGGTGTAAATTGATAGTGACACTTATTTAGCCTAATGTGACTCCAGAAAATAAGTCAGAATAGCCTCATAAGAAACAAGCATTGCTGTCAAATCCTAAGCATTACTGTACATATGCCAATACCTCGGCAAATTCACCACATAAGCTTCTGTTTGGGGTATAGCCATATGTTATATAGGCTGTATCTTCGCTGCGTTATTTTCCTTCCTAAGTGTAATCCATAGAACGCTCAAATGACTATTTGTCTCACAAATTACTTGCTACAATATGGGCTTATTCTTGGATCTTGCATTTCATTTTAAAATCTATTCAAATGCGTTTGTTAATTAGTTTATTAGGATCAGGGCAAAGGCAGAAGGCACTGCTCGTCCCGTGGAAAGCAAAATCACTTCTAAAGACATCTTCTGAAGACCTAGGGACTCCATCACGGCCACTCAATTATCTTGTAGCCGAGCTGGGTCAAAATTGAGAACACAAGTCTGACTACCAGCCAATGCCCTTCACTTTGTTGTACAAAATCGTGTCCTCCAATTAAGTGGAAATAATATGCTAAACTAAAAGCTGCCCTTCTGCTCCCAGATCAATCAGGACTTCTAATATTGACAAGACAAACTGAAGAGGAACACCGAACGTCTGTGCGACCCCTTCTGTTCTCTGCAAAAGACCCTTCTCTCTTCCTCACCCCAGCTCTCCCTCTCCCATGTGCTTAATGCCACTAGGATTTCAAAGCCCAGTGAATTTGGACTTGATTATGATGAGAAAAAAGCCTTGTGCTTTTTTTTGAAAACTTTGGCCATTGTCAAAGTGCCCTTCCCACACCAAAATATGCACGACTATTTCTGCCTCTGTGGGAAACTAATGGCAGAAAAGATGAGGAAGGGCAAAACGGAAGAGGAGGGGTAGCAGAAGTGTGCTCTGCCCGTCAGAAATTGAGGAATGTAACACGGCTAGGGTAGTAAACCCCCCAAATAAAGAGCAAGAAGAAAACTCAAAACTTTGCCAACTCAAGTGAATAACAAAATGCCCAGGACATTCATTTGACTGATGAGCAACCCAAGGCTCTCTAGTGAGCTGGGGCGAGGTCATTTAATTTTGTAAAGAAGATCTGGGATGGAACCTCGACTCTCTCATTCCCATTGAGCCCACCACTCCCACTCCCCAAGCTAAATTCTTTCTTACTAAAATGCTGAGAACACGAAGGCTTCTTGGGACCATACTGTCAACCCAGAAAACAGCAAAGAAGGGCCTCTTCCCACTGCATTTAAAGTATGTTTTCTTATCTCTACACCTCTCTAAGCAGAAGGCTCTGTGACGGTGGGCACTGGCGCCGTCTGAGACCCCTAGCACAACACCTGGATCATGGTAGGCTTTTGATGCATGTTTTACTGATGCACCAAACGATTCACTGCGACATGTTGAAACCTGAATTCTACTCACACTTATGAGACAGAAGCACATCAAAGGAATCTGCCCACCTCGTAGCCTCTTCCGTGGATAATCTCCTACGAAAAAAGAAACATCTCCCCTGAATATTTCTGGAATAACCACCTCTCCTTCAGCCATCACCGAGATTTGCTCAGGAGGAAAAATTGGAACAATGGGGGCAAATGAAGACCATACCTAGATTCCTGCAATTCGGCCGCTGTGAATGTGTACATTCTTAAGTAACTGATGGAAAACCCTCAGGACTGGAATTCAGTGGATTTAGTATATTGGTTTTCAGTCTTAAAAGCAAAGCTAAGTAAGTGCATGATTTAGAGATGTCAGGATAACAATGGAAAGAAACTGGTCTCGGCATCAGAAAAGTTAGGTTGAGCTCCTGACTCCATCACTTACTGTCACCTGACTTTCTTCACCTCTGTAGAGGGGATAACAATGGCCATTACAGAGCTCTGTGAGGGTTAAATGAGGTAACATCTATGACATCATTTAACGCAGTGCCTGCACAGTATAGGCACTGAATCCAGATTATCTGACCCTAAGCAGATTTTTAGGGTAGATTTGAGTGTTTGTTTCCAAATTGAGAGCTGAGACTGACAACTAAGTAGAACCAAGAAGTATCCTTCACTGCAGCTTTGTAAGAATGGTGGGTAATATGGTTTTCTTAAAAGTAAAAGGAGCATCCCTATTCTGACTCGTCATACCTTTTGAAAAGGAAAATAAACATTCTTTCACTCACGTTCAGGGATATTAAAAGGAGGTGCCACGAAGCAGAAATTCAGTGTCACCTGGCTCATCTGGTCACCAACCTCCTAGAGAAGAACGGGTTCTATAGCCCCACAGTAGCACCCCATGGTGGGCACCCCGGGAAAGCCGGGTGGCCATACTACTCACTTTAGAGCGCGGTTGGGTTTGTCAGGAAGAATAGCTGTGAAATCACTACACGAGTCTGACTTGTGCGACAGGCATCCCAGTCGAGTCCTCATCCCTTTGTTCCTGCAACAAGCACAGGGGCAGAAGGATGGGGGATGTCATGATCATAGCTGTCAGCTCTAGAAGGGGCCCCTGGAGCTGCTGCTGTCAGGGCCAGCACTGCCCCCTCCCACCCTTCCCCAGGTGGCCCCTGAAGATTTCATGAACAAGAGGAGAAACACCTAGAAGATGAAGGGATACACTCACTCCCTATCTTGATTCCCAGAATAGTAATAGGTACCCTACCCCTAGAGGCTTAATGCTTTTTAAAGCTGGCACGGCAAGTTGATGGTAAGTCAATGAAGGTCGTTAGCTTGGAAGAATTTCTAAATTAGGATTCTCTGTAGGGAAAGGAAATACAGTGATGACAAAATAACAATCTACATTTTGCTCTCCCACTAGGAGGGCAAAGTAGCAGCAGCAGCTCCTGATTGCAAAGCCCCAGAAGTAGTACCCACGCAGAGAGGAGGGGGTTTCCTGCCTAAGATACGGATGCATATCACAGAGGCTCAGAGCGCGAAGTATGGGCTTCAAGGCGGGTCAATGCTGCCTGGAGTTCTCCCCACTCATCCCACACACCTGGGGATACACATAAATTTTTACAGACCAGCAAGGACCGATGCCTGCAGGCGAGGACAAGAGCAAGGTACAATTAGCAATTAAGAACCAGTGCGCCCTTGGCAGTTCTTCTGTTTACTTAACGAAGCCCTCATATTCCTATTTATATTTTGGCTTATCTCAATCAGCACGTGTAAAATTTTGACATGCATATTTAAATTTCTCATATTTCTTATTTTCCTAAGGATCAGATACTTAAACAGTTACCTGCTGCGGAGGACGAAATGAGAAATTGTGCTCATGTCTCTTTCAGACTCCCAACATTAGCCCCTTTTTACCTTTAATCAGAGATTGGCAAACTACAGCCCCGCAAGATGCCCATTTGTGTAAATAAAGTTTTATTGGAACACAACACTCCCCCTTTGTTTACATATTGTTCAAAGCTGCTTTCGAGCACAGGGGCAGAGTTGGGTGGTTGCAACACAGACTGTATGGCCCACAAAACTGAAAATATTTACTCTCTGGCCTTTGACAGAATTAAGTTTACTGACCCCTGACCTTTAACCCTGACAACTCCTCACATGGAGGGCAAAGGTAAGTGGGAGGTGTTTGGTATAATCAGATCAGGACTTAAGAGTGACTTATAAAAGGGGGCTGCCACGTGCACATTGGTAACAATTTGCCACAGAAATAGGCCCAGAAGATTTCATTCTCCCTGCTGAAAGGAAGTCCTTCCAGCCTGGCTTTTCTTTCCTTTTTTTCACAAATCCTGGGACTGGGCAGAGATGTTAGAAACCATCCAATTCAATCTCTTTCTCTTATTTCAAATGGGTTTTCATCCCTGGCTCTGGTATTTGTTCACAGAAATCCTATCCAACGAATGTCCACTAGGATGGTATCTTATTTGGCGTGAATGGACAGCGTTTGTATTTCCCAGTCCGCCTCCGAGGAGCCTGCTAAAGCCAAAACATCCAAGTTCCCAGAAATGGTACCTCTCCCGCAGAAGAGTGGGCCTGCGTGGCCTTCGCTCCCACCTCTCATCTCAGGCAGGCCCATTGTGAATCGATTTTGTGGCATTTCAAAACATTGGCTTCGGCTGGTCTCTCTCCTGCACTAGTGAGCATCGTGTGTCCACTCACTCTTACAAGTCACAGGCTGCTCTGACACCAGGCCACACAAACAACTGATTAAAGGCCCTTGAGTCATCACTTTCCGTGAATCTGAGTAAAGGTCTTGCTCAGGCTGCACCACAGGCCGAAACTTAACTTTCAGTGTGTCAGTTCATTCCTCAGTGCCTCAGGATTATCAATCACAGTCAGATTGATACCCCCAAAGAGCAATTAAGAGGATTTCAAAAAATGGCAAATCCACCCAAGCCATCTAACAGGGTTTAGCAGGGGCCGGTGTAAAGGGTGATACTTTTTACCAAGACAACAGTGATTCTCCCAAATCGTTTACTAAATTCTTCCATAGAATATTCTTTGGGACAAAATGGCTTTGATTTTCCATCTTGTCTAGCTGAGACCTGAGTTATAACATTTTAGTTAAGTCTGAAATGAGAGCAGAAGTAAGAGGCAAAGGTTAAGGTTACCAAAAAAATCCCAACTAGGCTTGCCCTCATCTTTCTTCCCTGTCCTGGTGACCCGCAGAGGTCTCTAAATGGTTCCACACAAGCTCATGCACAGTCCCACCCCATAAGTCCTCCTGGTCAATGGGAGGGCTTGGCACTAAGGCAAGTCCTGCTTGCAAGGCCACAACTTTGCAAGAAGCACCCAGGGAAGGACAGTGCAGCCCACATGGAAGGCCTGGGGGACGGAGGCAAGTGCACCACCCATGAGATTAGAAGGCCTGGGGCAGGCTCAAACAGCAGGGGAGGTGGGAGGGTAGAGAAAGAGGAAAGGGGCAGGGGCAAGAAGACAGGTGAGCATCAGTTACCTGCGTGGCATCAGTAAAGCGGCCATACAGGCACCCGCTTACGGTTAACCCTCTGGCTGGTTTGCAGGGACGTCAGGGCGGGAGATAAGACTGCGGGGCACAGGGATATACCCTTTCACGTCCTCTCACCTAAAATCAAAGAATCTGCTGTAAGAGGGGGCCATCCTCTCTTATCTGGCCTGGCTGCAAATCTTCTCAGATGGCTTTCTGCCAACTGAATACCTCCCCACACACACCCCCTTCCGCATAGATGTCTGCTTGTCCTGAGCAAGGGTGACCAGCCAAGGATAGATAAGAACGAATCGTTGGGTGGCTTCACTCTGCTGCCTAATGGTCAGGAGTTTCTCTTTCCCAACCACTGGCCATCCACAGTAAAGTGGGACACATGCCCCAGGGGAGGAAGGCATGGGCTTAGCAGGCCACAAATTACTGTTCTCTTTGTCTTACTCTAGTGGGACTCAAGTGACCAGCCAGCCAGGGGTGGGGGAGGTAGGGACAGCACTTGCTCCAGAATCATTTGATTGGCTGCTGTTCTGATTCTCGCCTCCCTCAAGGGAACCTGTCCTGGAGGCAGGAGTGCGAGGAGCCTCAGGAAGGCGTGAGCGGGAGGAAGGTTGGAGCAACTCCAAGGGAGGCTTGTCAGGCACTGTCACTGAACAGGCCTGCTCCTTTGCAGGGATCACAGGCACAGGCTGAAGAAATGAATATGCGAGTCACTCTTTCTTGCCCCTAGGGAGGCTGCCTGGCCTTCCTCAGCCTGGGGACCTGCCTATTCCTGACCCGACGCAGGGAGGACACCAGGAGAGGGATGCTGAGGCTGAGGCCTGATTGACTGACCATCTCTCTCTCCTGAGGGTCCTATTCTCAGTGCTTTGAATGCTTTCTTGCCGCAGAAGAAACCTGATAAGAAGAAACACGTGAAGAGAGCAGCCTATACATAAAGGGTTCCCCTGGGAAACTCTGACACGGAACATAGAACCCATTTTAAAAGAAACCTAATTTAGATGGATAAGGCCCTGACGCAATCTACACCGGTTAAATTATTTTGATATTACCTGGAACATTTCACAAATACTTTTAAAAATACCTTCTCTAATAATACCACAATTAATAAAATAAAACGATGGCTTTGTTAAAACTAAAAAAAATTAGTTAGACTTTGCGTAAAGGCTCATCCCCGGGAGACTGAGCCTGGATCGTGATCTCTGACAGCTAGGACACTTCCGTAATCTTTGTCCTAACCGTGTGTACACCTGCTTGCCCAGAAGTCAAGAAATCGAAGCTCTTCACAGCTGTAAGGGTCTCTAGAAATCATTATTTGGGGCATCTAAGCCTCAGTTTCTCTTGCTTGTGGGATATACCCCAGAGGAGGGGGAAGCCCATGCCAGGGACCTCCATTACCCTGGAGCTGAGCAGAACCGGGGACCGCTCCCCGCATACACAGCAGGCAAGGTCATTTGGGGCAGTTATCACCCGGCCTCCTGTCACTGTGTTGTCGCTCTTCCCACTCCACTGGTACCCACCCTGGCTTGCTGGAGCTGCTTCAATACCTGCATCTCTCTCTTCCAAATCCAGCACTGCCCACCATCGCCTCTCGGACTCTCCACCACCCCTTCAATGAGCTCAGCCTCAGCGTCAATGAAATAAGAACCTGCCAGGTTCTCCGACCCAAGCTTCCTGATTCATCCCAGCACCCCAGGATCCTTGGCTTCTGGGGGACAGAGTTTGGGGTTACCCTGAGCCCAGGAAGGCCGAGGGTGTGATTGCACCCACAGTACATGTGCCCTCATAGATGGACATCAAGTTATAGGTGACTCTGGGGCAGCCAGGATGGGACACAATGGAAAGAGAGGATACTCAAGTAAAAAGCAAAGGTTAAAAGCAAAGAGCAAGGATTTACAAAGAGGGGAAGAGAAACTAAGAGCCTCAGCAGGGAGAAAGCAATCAATATGCATGAAGAGGCAGGTTAATTAAATATGGATAATGCAATCAGCCCACATGGGCACCCCGGAGAGGAAAGCGCAATACTCACTGTCTTTGACCAGTCCTCATGGCCTGCGCGTCTTTGCCAACCGGATGGTCAGAGAAGCTGCGGGTTAAGGAGCTCTGGGGAAAGAGTAGATCTTTCTCTTAGCAGTCAAATCCTTGGCGGGTGAAGGGCATGTGTGCCTGGACACACAGGCACACACGCGCACACACACGCACACATATACACATGCATGCATGCACAACACACCTCCCACCACTTGAGCCGGGCAGCAAGCGGCCCCGCTGAAAGCTCTTCTCTCTGCTTGTCACATCCAGTAAATACTGAAGCAGCCTACACCCCGCGGGCGGCGGCTCAGCTCCGGGACACGGTCTGCACACCCATCCTCATTGGCAGGATGCAGGAGGTGCCCCTGAGCAAAGCTTGCCTGGCACTCCTCCCTCACCTTCCTCCTCAGCCTCACTAACCTGCTTCCCAGCTCCTTTGGCTGCAGCTCAGGGAGAAGTCCCCACAGCCCAAAGCTGCCTCCCTCTGCACCCAGAGGCTGTGCAGGGGGCAGCGAAGCTGTAGGTATTAACTCTTTCCAGCCACCAATGACCTGAAAATCAAATGTCCAGGGGGCCTCTTCTAATGAGCTCTGCCGCTGGCCGAAGGATGGTTGCTGCTCAGGGAGCAGAGAGCATAAAGATCTTGCCCCAGACAGCTGCTGACAGCAGGAGCCAAGCCGAATCAAATCTCCTAATGAGCCAGGAGGAGGGGGGCTGTCTTGCTGGGTGTGATGTGATGTGATAAATGCAGAGAGCAAGAACACTACGGGGCAGGTCACACATCTAAATTCCACCCCCTTTCTCCGAATTTCTATTGTGCTGCACTGCCAAGCCGAACCACACAGCGCTGAAATGACCCCCTTCTGCCACACCTCAGCTGGCCCCATACTCCACCAAGGCATTTCTCCCCCAGCCCATCTCCACTGCCACCCCCCAGCACCAATCACACCACTCCTCACTTCTTAATGAGAAATTTCCACCTCCTCTGCCTCCCCAAACATGTATATTTCTAACTCTGTGCTCCCGGTTTTTCCTACAGTGGAAATTCACCTCTCTTCCTCATCCATCACCTAGCAACTTCCCCCTACTCGCATTTGGTACGGAATGAGACTTTTCCCTTTGTTCTGCCCAACCTGCACATTATCCCTATTTTTCTGTCTTCTACGTTTTTTCTTCCAAGCCGCCTTACCCACATGGATCTTCACACGGCCTGTTTCAGTTCAAGGAGGAGGACTTTCTCTTCCTGTTTGCCCTAGTGCAGTAGTTCTCAGAGTGTCATCCTTGGACCAGCAGCGTCAGCATCATCTGGAGATGTGTTAGAAATGCAAATTCTCAGGCCCCACCCCCAGACCTACAGAATCAGAAACTCCAGGGATGGGGCCCAGCCTTCCAGGTGATTCTGATGTATGCTAAAGTTTGCACCTCACGCCCTGGGATAAAGCTTACCTTCTCCTCTATCCGCTCTAGGTCCCTAAGGCCGAGTCTCCTGCTCCCGCTCAGGAACTAGCTCCAAATGCACCTGGCCTTTGCTGCCAGTCATTTCTAAAACCCAAAAGGCAGCATTTGCTAGAGGCAGCAGAAATCTCTATGGAAAGTGATGGCTTTATAATAAACATATTAGGTTCCATTTGGTTAATCTTTTACAATGTAAAAAGCATTTTCGTGCATCGTCACTCAAAAACCCCACGCCACAGTCAGAGAGAGTATTACCGTCCCCGAGTTGATGAGAAAACGGAGACTAGAAAAGGTGACATGTCTGTTTCAAAGTGACACAACACATATAAGGCAGCTCAAGGACCAGAACTTGTTTTCTTACGACGCTCACAGCAGAGCTTTTTCTCCTACGTCACGCCGGGACTCGGTCTTCCTGGCAGATCTATTGGTGCATGACCCCTATTCTCGCAGAGAAATGATTCTGCCGCAACCGCACGCTGCCTGACGACAAGGATGAAATAAAAATTCTGAGGCTGCCTCCACAGTGACTCATTCTCTCTCTCTGAAAATGTCCGCGGTTCCCCTCTGTTGGGTAAAGGGAACTTAGTGTCGTAAAATGAGATGTAAAGGAAACATACTCTATCCCTCAGAACCCCTGTCCCAAACCCTGTTGCTCACTGGGGTTTAGAAGCTAAGCATAAAGAGATTCCCTCACGTCTGGACACTTTCCTGTACTGTAAGAAACAAGTGGACAGATAAACGGGTGAAAAAAAGCCCATCGATAAGCACTTCCCTAATGCAAGATAAGTTTGTACCATAAGGTGGATCCGCCCCTGGATCCCAAGCACATAGCTAACACTTAATGAGCTTTTAGAATGTGCCAGACCCTGTGCTAAACAGTGCACTTGCCTTATCTTTCTTAACTCTCACAATAAACTCACAATGTCGACATCTTTACCATCCTCATTTTACAGATGGAAAAACACGACAAGTCATTTGTAAGTGGCAGAGCTGGTGTCTGATACCAAACTTTGTGCTTCCAGCCTCTGCTTTGCCCCTCGCTTTAACATAAAGGTAGTATGATCAGGGGACTCCTCTGCGGGTGTTAAAATAGCGGGGTAGAGGCCTCCTCCATGTCTCGTGCTGCCCCGTCTGGCCTCCAGGATTTAAAGGCGCCGAGGAGCTAGGGCAGGGCTGCAAATGGGCCCACATAGTGGAAGCTGACCAATATTAACCAGCCTTCAGAATCTTCAGTTAGCCTTTAGAGAAGTAATATAGTCCCAGGAAGTCAATAAGCCAACCCAAATGTTTAAAGAAAGATATAAGAATTAATGAAGTTTAAAGGAAAGAATAGGAATATAAAGACAAGAATATGTGGATATGCACCTAGCATGAGTAAAAAGAAAATTAAAACCAGTCCGAACTTTTCTTTTTACCAAAGCATGCCTAAACACCCAGGAATAACCCCGCAGCGCCCTGGTTTGAGAAGCACAGATTAGTACAGGCCCCTTTCAGGGGTGGACTCTAACTTAGTCTTCCGTCCTATAAGGCAGGGGCATAAAGAATTCCAGGGGGAAAATTAAGCTGAACCGAGGAGGTAGGCATTCTAGCATGGTCTTCTTTCCTGTAGGAGAGAGAGAGGAAAAAGCAGGCAGGTTGGAGTGCTAATGAGAAAGACACTCACCTACTTGGACTTTGCATCCCCGGCTTGGAGCCGGGACCCAGAGCGCTGGATTCTTTTCTGGTTACTGCTCCTGAGTTGCTGGCTGAAAACTGGGCACAGGATGTCTCCACTGTTCCCAACACATGGATTTTCCCAGGCAAATAGTCGTTACGAGCTCTGCTCTGGCTTCTCAGATGCCCTGCGCCTCTCTGCTCTTCCCATTCTACGCCTGCTCCTCCTGGAAAACCCAGCCCTCCCAGGTGCGGGCCACTGCTTCTCTCCAGAATCGATGCTTCAGTCCTGCCTCCCCTGAGCTCCAGACTGCTTTTCCAGAGGGCTGCTAGACAGCTCCACCCCCTCAGACCCCGCAGACTCGACTGCCTCCAAAACAGCTGACTTTCCCTCCAAATCCTCCAGCCCTGCTGGGCTCCCTGTGAGTGTTTCTGACACCACTCTGTCCTAGACCTTCAGGGTCACAGGTACAGGTACTTGGGGCTTCTTTTTCTCTATTCCCCTTGCTGAATTGGTTTTTAAACCTTGTCGTTATAGTTCTGAAATATTTCTCAACTTCATCCCCTCCCATCCATTGACGCTGCCATGTCAGAGGTTTTTCAGTACACAGCACAGTGTGTGCCCTTCCACCTCTCCTAAATAACTAATCTTCCTGCCCCCCATCAACACCCCCAACCTCCCAGAAACCACTATACCACCACGAGAGTTACCCACTCAACCGATACCATAAACCAGATCCTCTGCATAATACTCTTTGATGGGCTCCCTTGCAGCTTCTTGTCCTGCCTGACATTCCAATAATTTGGTCCCATTTCCCTATCCAGTCTTATCTCCCACTGTGCACCCACACACACACATAAATACTCACACGCATACAGGCACGAACACACACAACTGATTCCTCTACTGCTCCTTCTACCCGGATTGTCCCCACCCTGAATCTGCCCGTTAACTCCCAGCTCCCTCTCGAAACACAATCCCACCAAGCTAAAAATTCTCCTGTCCAAAGCTTTTTCAGAACTCTCTCGAAAAAAAGGAACCCCTCCATCCCAACACCACCCCATTAGTGTGTGATTCTCTGACAGCCCGCATCACAGTCTGTGGTTTATCCTCGTGATCGACATTTTCTGATCCTCCCAAACGACTACATGCCCCACAAAGACAGACTCCCCTTCCTATCAATTCCCATTGCCTCGTACGGAGCAGGTCTTTAATAAATGTTGGCTAAATTTGATCTTGAGTTCATGGAAAAATATGAAAAAATCACTGAAGATTCCTTATGGCAGCAACGTGTTAGACTTCCGTAAGTCTCCAGGTCAAGACCAAAGTCAACCTAATGCAAAAGACACTCTGACATTTCTGGGTCAGCAGCACAGGTACCTGAGACATTTGCAAACTATTGCTCCCAACAGCCCGGTCAGGCCAGAGTGGAATTAATCAAGAGCAAAAGGGGCACCTGGCATTGTCACACAAGCCACAAAAATGTAATTAAATTGGAGATAAAGGGAATTAAAGTCTGCAACATAATATTTTTAAAAGCCGTGATAGTGGAGGAGGATGTATATTTCCAAATGCCCCCTGTGCGCTTATTTAATCAACATACCACCTAGGATAGTACCATATTAAAAGCTTTTAATAAAACAGCCATTCGGATATTAGATTTGAATTCTGGTCAGCATGCTAAAGCTCTTCTGCAAATCTTTTAAAAGCAATTTCCACTTTGTAGCTTCCTAGTAACAGTAGAAACATGAATCAACATATGCTGCATTGATTGGGGGTTTCCATGGAGACTGGAAGGACATAGGGAAGAGAAGGACAGAAAGAGGCCACTTGGCCCAAAATTCTACTAAAAAAAAAAAAATGCATCTCCATTTCATTCCTCTGAGCATTACAGCCTCATTTCCTGTTCATCAGTTCAAGCATTCAGATATTTAATTTGTAGTAAGCCTGTTTGACTTCTCACAATGAACAGCAGAGAAGACACAGAAAGAAGTCAGCAGCTAAAGGTGCGGGCCCACGAGCTTTCCAGAGAGAACCCCAGAAGCACAGGAGCTGGAATCAGAAGAAAATGCCTTGGTCCTAACTCTACCATTAACTAGCTCCGTGACACGAACTGCCCTCACTAGCTATGTGATCGCTAACTAACATAACCAAGAGCTTTGCCTTTCAATTTCCTCATCTGTAAAACATAAATTAACACACCTGCCCTGCCTATTTTTCAGGGTGCTTATGAGAAAGAAATGAGAAAGTATGTGGGAAGGAAAATGCTTTGCAAATTCTAGTACACCGCACCCTGTTATTATATTTGGTGATGCTTTGAGCTTCCCTGTAAATGGAATTTTGCCAGTGAGCAAGTATTAGCAAAAAAAGAGTGCTGATTTAGTGGAGAGTAGACTGACCTGGAAAAATAGGACAGTGGGTTTGACAGCCTTGAGTTTCGATCAGCTCCATCATTTTCCAGATTTGTAACCGCGGGCATGTTACTCTCCCACTCTGAGCGTCATTTTCATCGTGGGGAAAATGAAGATCACAGTGCCAATGTCATAGGCTTGTTATAAGGATTAAATTAGATAATGCAGTCTAGGGTTTAGCACAATGCTGGACAAATGGCAAAGGAGTGTTTGTTTAGTGCGAGCCGCTTTTTTTAGCCTCATCAACTGTGGCATCAGCTGTAAAATGGGACTGCTGACTCCTACTACTTCCCTACTCTGCACGGAGGATCCCTTGGATGATGTCTGCTCAGCTATTTCACAAGCTGTTTGGTAAAACACACTAAATAGAATATCATTTAAAGATTCGTGTTCCCCACACTAACTTTGGTGATACAAAAATGTACAGAGTACATTTGTAAGAACTTTCAAGCTTCTTGGTGGATGGGAGGGTTATATAAGTCTCTGTGACCTTTGTCATTTCCTTTTGTTCCTCTTGAGCCTCCATCCCTCTCCGTACCACTCCCTTCAGGCCTTGCTTCTTTCTATGCTCCTTTCTTTACTCACTACCTTTATACTGCTCCTTCTAAGTGTGTCTAGAAGGAATTTTAAAATTAAAAGTTGGAGTCTGAACTGCAATCGTTCCTTAGGTCTCCTAAAATTGAATGGCTTACTCACCCTGGAGAAACACCACGAAATCGGGAGGTGTCGTAGGGTTACAAGACTGTCTCTCAGACAATGGTCGTCAGTGTTTAAAATATATATAT